GTTATATTATATATATATATATACATATATATATATATATGTCTGAATATATGTGTGTGTTTATATGTATGCACATAGCGTCTTGAACTATTTTCGCTGTACTTCCCATCTTTTTGAAATCTCTAATTGTTCACAGGGAAATTCCTCCACCAATTCTCAAGTTCCATTGTTGATCTCATCTTTTCGATGCACTTATAAAAGCTACTCATTTGGGAGTTAAATTTTGGATGAAGGATGCCATTTTGAATGAAGGATCATTTTCAACTCAAATTTCTGATGGATCCTTATGGCCACGCTTTGTGCACAGCTATTGTATTGTCAGTTTTAGTACCGCATAAAACTTACACCATTCTGTTGAATACGGTACTTCATCGTAACTGAATTTCGTCACTTGGTTCACTGTTTGTGCGGCAAACCCCTCGAGATGATCTAATGAACAAAGACGTTGGCTAAATTGAGTTATACAATACCTAATTAGACTACACTTGTCGTGCCAAACTTTGTCACTGCAGATCCTAGTTCGTACGTGTTTTTGGTTAGCGTACTTGTTTTGAACGAGATAGATGGTATAAACGGCTAAATTGCTACATTTTAGGGGTTGGGCAGCCATGAAACCCGGAGTCAGGGAAGCCCTGAGAGCCTGACATACCGAAATGACTGGTCTATTAGACACTACAAGTGTCTGCTAGTACCCACTACAAGTGTTTCAAGCAATCCGCAAAATGGAAGACCCGCTCGCCCTTCAACGCATATTTCCTGATTTATCTGTATGCCATCATAGCTTACTCCAATGTTTCCTGCGTGAAGTTCGCTCAAAAGTTGCTGACGTCTTTCAAAACTACGATTTACACTTGACTTGCCACTGCAAAATTGGGCGAATTCAAGAAAATGTGTTATGCTCAATAAAGTTTGTTAACTATGAGCTCAGAATTAGTTGGGGTCACATGAACGGAACTTCTCCGGTCGATAAATATTCTTCGTTGCTTTCGGGGTCGTTAGCTGTTATTTCCTGGCCTCAAACTGCTGAGAAGTTCCATCAGAACAGTTCAGTAATGAGGCATCTGGCTCAACTCCTCTCCGATAAAAAGAGTAACCCGTTCACTCACTGGTACTGTGAATCCCGGTCGGAGCCGATCAGGACGCTACTGTTGAAAGGAAGAAAGCCTTCGGCGCGGAGTTGTTTATTAGGGAAACACCAACTGAACAGTTACAGACTATTGGATAGGGGAGTAAAACTCTCATGTGCATCCTGTTTACAAAACCGAATATCCATCTTCTCCTTGAACGCGTCTTCATAAACTTCCCTGGATATTCATTGACTGTTACTTAAATGCAGGCAAATGCTACAAAGCAACTCCACATATTCCGTAATAGATCTCACTTTTCAAGAGACGTGAAGCGGATTCACGAGAAGATACTACTCGCATGTCTCATCAGTAGTATCCACCGTTACACTGTTTCTAAAAGGTTCGGTGAACATCAGTAACGTAACAACCGATTGTTTATGTCTTTCTCAAACGTTGGATTCTTTGAACACTGAAAGCCAGAATACAGCTAGCGGAATTCTACATCCCACTTTATTGTGGAGCCTGATGTCTCCAGTTTGACCGAGGTTCCGTGATTTCCATAATGCAGCGGTATTTTAGGCTATATACACTCATTTGCAAAATAATTTGGTTTCTCGAGAGACTCACCTGGAACCCAGCTGAATCTCTCGTTTGTGATATTCTCACAAAGCCAAATTAGTTTGCAAATGAGTGTATATTCGCTAATTTCGTGCAATTTGGTTTCAAGTAGAACATAAGGTTGACGGAAATCCGGGGACTTCGCCTACCTGATGAGCCCCAAGAAGGGCGAAACCGGTCTTGGGCTGTCAACGGATTTTCAGCAACCTTATTAATAGTACATTACAAGTATTTTAGGCTGTTCGGTACTCGTTATTCCATACCTCCCCAACACTTTCACTATGGTGCTATATTTCAGAAGAAACTGAAAGGAACAACTGGAATAAAAAAGTTTTTGACTTCTGTTCTTGGATTTTCAGTACAAGCACTCGAACAGCGCAGGCAACGCAATGTTCAACTCTCACCAAATCACAAGCTGAAAGACCGCGACAAAGTCGCTTGATTACTGAAGTGGAATTTGATTCTCGAGTGGTGACCGACACAAGAGATGTATGGCCTACCGGACTGGCTCTCAACCCATCGAGTAGCCATATATTTGTTGTGGATCGTGACAACGCAAAGATAAAGGTAATTGGAACAAATGTGGTCGGTTTAAAACACGCTTTAATCAGGTTGTTTCACGACTACCTGATTTTCCGTGAAAATCTCATCTAGGTCACAGTGAACCAATTTTATACATTGTCGGTCGTGTTCACCTTTTTCCTCCACTTTATCGTCTAATTTATTATTCCTACTGTTTAGTTTCCACATGTGTGCGCCGCTGAGTTTTACCACCCAGGGCTATGACAAAATGTGCAGCGTTTGAGTTGCATTGTTGATGGTCAGACCGTCGCAAAAAAAGACAAAAATGCTACCACTGCTGAGTATCCCCTAGGGCGCAGGATCGCCATAGCGAAGTCACTGAGGTTGGATACATACGGCTGGACAGGACACTACTGAGTAGATAGATAGACATGAACCCTAACCCTAAAGCCGATTCAAAATTTACAAGGCGGTTGAACCGATTCAGTTCGCAGCCCAAATTTGTCTCAGTAGACCGAGATCCATGAACTTGTTGCGACTGTATAAACTTTTCCAACAAGACAAGCACTCCATGGTAACGGCAGAGTTTCTTTTATGATTGTTGGTAGTATGATCATAAGTATTATTATTTATGATTATTACGAGCATTATAACGATTATTCTAAGTTGTTTTTTTCTCTTTTACCTATCATAGAAACCTAGCTTATAACTACACATACAGCGTTCAGCCCTCTGACGCGCTTGCTCTGAAGTGGTTTATTAAAACCTGAGAAACGAGAAAAATATCCACGTATTATTGAGTTTCAGAAAATTCCAAATACTAAATAGATAGTTTGTTTGGTGCGCTAACCGAAATTCTGTAGCTGCTCTCACTCTGGAGAAAACTAACCGGAATTCTACAGACAGGTTAATAATCATTCGAATTCTGCTTTCCCGAGGTTTCCGTCCAGATTAAAAAAGAACCACAGTTACAAGCGTGGGTTGGAGCCGAGTTCGGCATGGCACATAGTGGACTGATCGCCCACTAGCCAAGCACAGGGAGAATATGATGAGTACGGCATAGCATGTTACAAGATGCAGTAAAGTAGGGAAAAATACACCAAACACATTGAGACTGAGATGTCCTCAGCCGACCTACGCGTCAACGTAGTCTAAAATGTGTGTCCTTTATACGCCGCATTGCCATGTTTGGCACTAAACCCTTAGCGAACGCTTGCTTGTTCTGGGGGGTCAGGTTAATGGCTGAATCATGGACTATGTGCTAAAACCCTGTTTTTGCTGTTGTTGCTGTTGGTGGTGGTGGTGGTCATGGTGGTGTTGCTGTTGTTGCTCGAGTTGTTGTTGGTGGTGGTGTTCCTGTCAATGTTGTTGTTAAAGTTGTTGATGGTGGTATTGCCGGTGTTGTTGAAGTTGTTGGTGGTGGTATTGCCGGTGTTGTTGAAGTTGTTGGTGGTGGTGATTGTGGTGTTGGTGTTGTTGTTGTCGTTGAAGTTGTTGTTGTTGTTAATAGTGTCGTTGTCGGTGTTGTTGAAGTTTTTGTTGGTGGTGGTGGTAGTGTTTTTGTTAAAGTTGTCGTTGGTGGTGTTGTTGTTCAAGTTGTTGTGGGTGGTGGTGATGGTGTTGTTGTTGTTGAAGTTGATGTTGTCGGTGTTGCCGATGTTGTTGAAGTCGTTGTTAGTGGTGGTGCTGTTGTTGAAGCTGGTGGTGGTGATGCTGTTGTTGAAGTTGCTGTTGGAGGTGCTGTTGTTGAAGTTGTTGGTGTTTCTGTTGCTGTTGAAGTTGTTGGAGTTGTTGTCGCGTTGTTGAAAGTTGCTGTTTGTGGTGGCGTTGATAGTGAGGTTGGTGGTGTTGTTGTTTTTGAAGTTGGTGGTGGTAGTGGTGATGTCGTTGCTGTTGCAAATGAGTGTATTTCTCAGAAACTCCTTGTCCCAGAGTAAGAATGGAAGAAAGCAATCAACGCGTGTTGTTGATTTTCTCCAGTTAGAATTGATTGTGATCGGTCATAACAGGGTAAGGCGTTTTGCGGTGTTTCTCGTGCCCCTAAAGATAGGCAGCATAGAAATTCTGTTAAAAGCGCTGCACTTGTTCACAAAACCCTAGTTTGGTGTTCATATCACATAAACTACCGCATACTAACAGCTAACGTCTTGTTCTCTGATTCAAAAGTTGTTAGTGGTGGTGCTGTTGTTGAAGCTGGTGGTGGTGATGCTGTTGTTGAAGTTGCTGTTGGAGGTGCTGTTGTTGAAGTTGTTGGTGTTTCTGTTGCTGTTGAAGTTGTTGGAGTTGTTGTTGTCGCCGTTGTTGAAGTTGCTGTTTGTGGTGGCGTTGATAGTGAGGTTGGTGGTGTTGTTGTTTTTGAAGTTGGTGGTGGTAGTGGTGATGTCGTTGCTGTTGCAAATGAGTGTATTTCTCAGAAACTCCTTGTCCCAGAGTAAGAATGGAAGAAAGCAATCAACGCGTGTTGTTGATTTTCTCCAGTTAGAATTGATTGTGATCGGTCATAACAGGGTAAGGCGTTTTGCGGTGTTTCTCGTGCCCCTAAAGATAGGCAGCATAGAAATTCTGTTAAAAGCGCTGCACTTGTTCACAAAACCCTAGTTTGGTGTTCATATCACATAAACTACCGCATACTAACAGCTAACGTCTTGTTCTCTGATTCAAAATGCATAGATATTCAGTCCATCGGGAAAGTTTCTCTCGAGTTTTGCTGATTCTCCCAACGAGTCAACGAAAATGGTCAGCCCATTCGACGTGGCTGTCACTCCCAGCGGATTGGTTCTGGTGTCCGACTACCAACTGCAAGAAGTGAGCTTTCATTGTCAGATTGTTGAGCTTCACATCGGACTATGTTTAACGATTCTGGACATTTACCCTGAGAGCAATATTTTTCTTTAGGCTTGAATAAAATATACTGGTTAACCGAACTGAGGCACAAGAGTGGGTAACAAATGGTAAAAATCGTTTGAAGGGGTGCTGTCATTAAGAAACGACAGTTTTTCTTGTGCCTTACGAGTGCTTAGATTCCCAGTAATCATAACGTCCTTGATTTTTTCACGTAGTCAAGCCTTTCCGGGAGGCTGGACTGTGAGTTTCTCTTATCCGTTCTCTTACAATGGACGGCAGACATTCGAGTGGAATTCATCGATTAACGCTGTTTTAACCAGTGGATCTCTGAGCATAATTTGGAAACCGCAGATGGTTAGCACCGGGCCGAATACGCTTCTCCGTGTGGGTATTTGAGGCCGTTGACCAACATACAGATGGCTGCTGTAAGCCATCAGTCAGCTTACATATGATGGCAGTTACTTCTTTGTCACTGGAATGCCTACGTTTTCCGTCATTTTCCCCGAACTTCAACATACTGCCGAACCTTTCCCATTATTGTACCGTAGGAATATTCTCTGAAGCCTATACATTACCCCTGAGACGATGATGCAGGGACTGAATGCAGTTCGCCAACCAGCTGGTCCGTGATATTGATCTCCTTAGGATGAAAATACTCCAGGCAGGTGATGATCATGAAACGGTCATGTTATATCTGACTGCTATCTCCGCTCCACTGCCTGGTGCCAAACAAAGAACACAACAGCTTTATTGCAAAGAACGAGTGCAAAAGTTACAACATCCCCACGCTATTGGAAGGTACTTTTTGACACTGATAGGCATTAAGTAAACACCGATCAACATCGACCGTGCCTCCACGAAATGCCTGAACACCTATCACAGTCGGCCGTGCTTCTGTGGCGTGCGTGGATACTTATCGGTCGTTGCTAAACCGACTGACTGTCTGAATGACTGGCCTGGACGCTTGCCGGCTTTCCTATTGATTGGTGAAGTCAGCTGGTCCGTGATATTGATCTCCTTAGGATGAAAATACTCCAGGCAGGTGATGATCATGAAACGGTCATGTTATATCTGACTGCTATCTCCGCTCCACTGCCTGGTGCCAAACAAAGAACACAACAGCTTTATTGCAAAGAACGAGTGCAAAAGTTACAACATCCCCACGCTATTGGAAGGTACTTTTTGACACTGATAGGCATTAAGTAAACACCGATCAACATCGACCGTGCCTCCACGAAATGCCTGAACACCTATCACAGTCGGCCGTGCTTCTGTGGCGTGCGTGGATACTTATCGGTCGTTGCTAAACCGACTGACTGTCTGAATGACTGGCCTGGACGCTTGCCGGCTTTCCTATTGAGGTTTTGGTGAAGTTTTAGGGCCATATTAGCTTCCGGGCTTCTGGGGTATTTCCAGGAATCTGACCTTCCTGATAGTTAAAAAGTGCACGCGCGTCTGTTTTTTGCCCAAGTCCGATTGATCGGGGCTTCTCTGGAGAAGTTCAACTCCTTTTGCAGTGCCGAGAGGCATGGCTTCACTAATCTTGTCAAATCTGTTTAGATGGTCGTTCTCTAAGCTCCTGTCAAGTGCTCTATCGTTCCATGGTCAACAACGCAGGCTGAAACTGCTCGAATTTGCCCTAGTACCATTCCAGTGACAAAACTCGAGGTATCCCTGCATTCACGCTGCGTTTTTGCTGAATCTGGATAAGCTGTTTCTGGAATATGAGCTTCCGCGTCAGCGGACTCAGATATACAAAGTACTATACCTGGTTCAATAATCGTTTGCACTTCAGAAGGAATCCCTTGTTCGAGAATTGATGCGACTATCTGCGATGCGGCACTTTACGTAGATATTGCAAATCTAGAATTTGAGCCCGTCTTCTTTAAACTGCCCACGTTTCATAATTTTGCAGTGGTGAAAACAGTGTAGAAGATGTACAACTACTAAGGTCTTGGCGTTTTTTGGAGAGACTTTTCTTCAAATGTTCTACTGGCTTCCGCAACACGTGTGTTCAGTTTATAATCAAGCGTTAGATCTGTGGATAACGCATAACAGAAATCCACATAACTGCGACCGTACCATTTTGTTTGAATACTTGGTCTTGTACGATAAACACCCAATACAGATATATCAATCGTGGGTCTTGGAAACATTTATGTCGCAGCGCTATGCCACTGAACACCACGTATGGATTCCGCTTGGGAAGAAAATTAAGGCAAACCTTCTGCGAACATAAAGGACGCTGGACTCATGCAGTTTTTGGCAGTTTTGTCTCGAACACACCCTTCAGACCGAAATGATGAAACGCTTCTTTGCAAACGGTTGTCACTTACATGCTGAAAGGCACTGGGGCAAGGTGCTCTGGAAGAGGCACGTTTGAAATTCATTCAGTCTGCTCAACCAATCGCCTCTGTGCGATGTGTAGCTCAAGGTTTGACGGAGCCTACATTCGATTTGGCTGCCCAAAAACGAAGTACTTAGTAGCACTGGTGAAAGGAAGTCTTTCGCTTCGGAGTTTTCATCAGAAAACGCCAACTGAACAGTTACAAACTATTGGACAGGGGAGAAAAACTCTCATATGCATCTTGCTTACAAAAACTGAATATCCATCTTCTCCTTGAACTCGTTTTCCTGAACTTTCCTGGATATTCACTGACTGTTACTCAACTGCAAGCAAATGCTACAAATTGACTCCACAAATTCCGTAATAGGTATCACCTTTCAAGAGACGTGAAGTGGCTTTACGACTAAACGTACTACTCGCATCGCTCACTGGTAGTATCCATCGTTACACTAATACTGTAATCCGAAAATTCTGGGAATTAATAATTACGTAACATGAGGCTGCGAACTCTTAGAACGGAAAAAAAGTCATTCTTTCCAAAGTGAAAAACAAAGTCAACCTTGCTCCTTAGTTATCTTGCCCAATTTCTGCTTCACTTCAATAGCTCTATCCTAGTGGTCAAAACCGCCGTCTTTCGTTCTGATAGATGATTTGACGGATGCTTTAGCAGTCAACTTGGTATGCATAACAAGCTGAGACCTGGCCGAATCCCTCATTTTTTGATGTTTCTATTATTAGTAGTGTGTGGAGTACATAAACGTACTACTTCCGTAAACATCTGTGACTACTGTGTTTTCCCCTTGGAAAAAGCAATTCGCCTCGCAAATTTACAAGTGGATGAAATGAATTCCTCAGCATAGGCCAGTGGAATTCGTCTGCACTGTTCGTTTCCAGTAATTGATCTGCTGTGACGTGATATGAAGAATCGCTCCCCTTGATCAACGGGGTTCCGATTACCGCACACTTAATAATATGTTTAATGGTAGTCACCTGGTGAACTGGAATTGAGGGCGGATAAAACTAATTGCTTTAGTCTCATCTCCATGGTAAACTTCATGCTGGTGTATCATTAACCTACCTAGTCGTGAAAGCATCTTTACTGGAGCGGATACACTTGTAAATCTGCGAACCTGGGCAATCCAGGCTTTAAAAGACAAAGTGAAACACTATCTACCTCGATCTAAGCCGTTTCTTTGAGTTTTTGTCCCGATTTGATGCACCTCATCTATGTAAACGGGGGCGACTGTCGTTTCGTCGTTTGACCGACAACCCGCAACCTTACTGAACAGACACACTTGGAAATTTGATTCCCGACTTTTAGTTGTGCAGACGGTTACATTAATTAACCCGAATACTTATCAATTCTGGGGATAATCACCGTAAACTGGTCACCTTTTTTAGCTTTGGATGGGACAGTTAAAGTTGGTTTTGTCTAGGAAGATAAAAGGGATTCCTTCCAGTGTTTGGATGCTTTTAATTTGCCATTACGAGTGAATGCCACAGCCGGAAGAAAATAAAAGCAAAGATTGTGTAAAATATCCATCGACGAATATTTTGTAAGCTCAAAGTACCCAAGAAGTTGGAGCAATGAAGGTACAAGACACCTCGAAAGTCTGTAGAATTCGAGTCCAACTCCGAAACTCAAACGGTTGTGTAAACCAAACGGTCCGATTTTCTCGGGAAAACAAGGTTTGTGTTTGTCCTTGACCGGACAATTATGAGTAAATTCAGTGCAAATGACCACCACTAACTAGACTCTGTATTGAAGACCATCACTTATTCATAAAATACTGTTGACTCAAAAGAAGTATGGATCGAAGGGACAAAATCAAAGACAGTGGCTGTCAAGGACGCAATTTCTCCCTATTGATTGTCTTACCTCTTTGAGGAGAAGAAAATATGATGGAGACTACTCACAAGGTTGCTGAAAACTCTTCAACAGCCCACGACCGGTTTCGCCCTTCTTGGGGCTCATTTGTTGAAGTCAGTCCAGTTTGGGTTCAAGTAGAATATAGAGTTGACGGAAACTCGGGGAGTGCGCCTACCCGATGAGCCCCAAGAAGAGCGACAACAGATCGTGGGTTGTCGAAGAGTTTTCAACCACCATGTGAGTAGTTTTCTTTGTGAAAATACACTGCGATATCTCCAATGTCATACCAACTGAAACATGAGGCGGCCTGTTTGCAGCACATCCAGTTGAAGAGCCTCATAAACGGGAGATTCACTTGAGTCTCTCGTGAAAACCAAATTGCTTTACAAATGAGTGTGTGTTGCAACCCACACCTTATTTTCAGTGCACCATACCCACCGTAAGGGAAGTCACCTCTGCTAAATAACCAAGGAGCAGCATTCAGCTGTCTCATTCTTTTTAGGAATTATCAGCAGAGAGTCTTCAAACTGAGACCTCCCGACCACAAATCCTAACCCGTTCGGCCACGAGCGGCTGACCAGCATTATGATTAACTCACACTTAGGCAGGATATACTACCGCTCATCCTTCAGTCACGGGATCCACATCATGTGGCCACACGTGTTGATTGGCTCCTTGAGTGATGAATACTCAAGATTTGTTGGTACTATTGGAGGGGTTTGGAGCTTTTTATCCGAGATTTTAGCAAGAATAAAACGGCCGTGGACTGCATCTTAGGTTTTTGACCTTGAATAACTTCACTCACAAGACTAAGCCTTTTCTGAAAACTTTGAAAATTATCTCATATTGTCAACAAAGAACTTTTTATGTCAGGAATAGGGCGAGAACAGGACAGAGCACTTACCACCTTACAGGCAACACTGAATTCTAAAAGCCCTCGCAACTTCAGCGATACGGTTCACAGTGTAGGGCATGAAACTCCCTAAGCGTTAGGGTTTTTTGGGCAAAATGTGACATCTTATGGGCAAAGAGAGCTGGCAAATAACGAAAGTCATCCGCAAGCCCAACTATTTCACACATTTAGCCATTTCGGAGTAGAGTACGCCCATAATGATCCAAGCACCAAAAGCAATCTACACTTGGGTCGTGTCTGCTTATTATGTGGATTGCGAAAGAACAGACAGCTAGGATACATCAAAGACAAGGTAATTCATAATATACTGCCTTCCTCAACACGCAAATTGGTAACCGTTCTTCAGAATTTCGGTAGTTATTAGTCTCCGAATAAGGTGTTTTCCAAAATAATGCTAGTCAACTTATTCTGAGTAAACTGTCTTCTGTTACATATATAGCACCTTCCGTTGTTGAAGAGTCACTTGTGTCAAACTCGTTCAGAGTCACCTCTGAAAATCTGCCTCCAAAATACCGACATATTGCAGCAAACTGTGTGTTTGAAAAACTGTTGGCGTGGAATATA